GAAAACAGAGTAACCAGGTCCTTTGTTTTTGCTGTGGTTATGTTGTTGACTCCTTGATGACACTCCATTTCATTCATTCACGTTTCTTCCATAGCCCATGCAGGCACGTGGGTGAGAGGAAGTGGTGTTGGGAGATGACTAGAACCTGAGATCAGGAGTCCCTCATCTCTGAAGAAAATCAGTTGCTTCTATGGCTGGGTGATCTGCTACATGAGTGAAATATCTTCAGCTGAGTGGGTGGGATCAGATTACCATTGACTCATGTGCGCAACAGAGTTATTCCTTTATTTAAACCTGTCTTAATGTGTCCACATTGTCTCTTTTTTGAAGAGTCATTTACATCATTTACTCAGATTACTGTCCCTCATGAACACTTAGCATACCCCAAACTCAGCACAAATATAACACAAACAGCAAAGAGTCATATTTTCAGTCATCTAAAGAAAGCAATCTTCCTTCTAGAAATATCACTGGGATATTGGAGCGACCATCTAACTTATTGTCTAAAATAGGAGTTTCTTGAAAGTGAAAGAGGCATTATTAATAGTGAGTAGCAACCAGGATGGTCCCAAGCAAACTTGGGCATGGGGTTACCCTGCTCCATCTGTAACGTAGTGACATTGGCTTCCAGAAGTTGTCCTGGTTTTGTTATTATCTACTCCTGGGGCATATTTGGTCTCTCTTTTGGATGCGGTTCCAGTTAGATTGGCAAGGTCCCTGAGCCGTTTTGTTCCTTCTGGGACTTCAGTTATTCTTTTTCCTTTGACTCAGGCCTCCATGTGAAAGCCTGCCAAGAAGAACTGCCTTGGATCACCAGAGACGATGCAGGGGCTGTTAGACTTGGTCATCTGACATGTGGGACCCAGGGCATGACTTCCGTCATCAGATCCCTCTATTTCTTCTTCTGCTTGTGCTCTGCTCTTTCAGAGTCCCCCTTAGATAATTCAGGTTAAAGAATTTTCTTTCACTTTTTGTTAAGCTAATTGGGTCATTCCTTTATGCTAGAACTTTGCATTTTCTGTCTGGGTGGAGGAACACTGTCTCAGATCCCTAGGCAGAATACCATCACTGAAGATCAAACCACTCTCCACAACCAGCAAAGACCTATCATTGTAGCAGTTGTTAAGTTTTTACACTTGGCATTTGGGTGAGGAACAAAGAAAGTTTGGGGCATTTCAAATTAATGGAAGAAGCAGGCTTTTGAAATGCAAAGATATAAATCCCATTCAAGGAAGCAAATTATACAGTGGTACATAAGAAAAAAAGGTGGAGGGAAGGGTTGATGGTAGCAGGAGGGTGAAAGGAATTGTTTAATGGATAGAGAAAGATCCAGAAAGGTGACAGTCAGACCCTTTAGACATCCCTTAGATAAACTCTCTCATCTACTCATCAAAGATGAGAGAGAAGTCGGCTGGCTTTATTCTGTTGACAAAGACGCACCCATGTGGCAGAAAGAGGGGGCACTGGGTTGATAATGGCACATTCTCATTTACCACTTGGCTTTAACTATTCTGTCCTCACTGTATGTAAAGCCCTTGCAGGAAAGCCGGGACATGCAGTTTTGACAGGATGTACAATGGAAAGAAAAGGGAGAGGAACGCAGAGTAAAGGGGGCCGATGTATTATTTACCACTGGAGAAACTAAACTGAGCCGAATTCAGGGGTTGGCCCAAGGACTTGCTCCTGCAAGGCTGTGGAATAAAGACAGGCGTCTTTGCATTCTTGGTGCCACTGCTTTTGCTGATGGGGAACACTGCCAGGGCTGGGCCAGCGTGTGGGTCTCATCTCTTCACTGTGCTGCCATCTGCCCGACCACTGCTTACCGTTCCCTATGGCCCAGGAAGGGTTAAGACCTCCACAGAGAACAGCCTGGGCCTCTGTAGGTGAGATTTCATTAGGCCGGCACTGAGGGCATCTTGCTGGGTTGGGACAGTTCTTATAAGTGTGCAGATGGCAAGATAAGCACACAGCCACATGCGCAGGAACACACACATACATGCTCCCTGAAGTGGCGCAGTGGGCAGACAGGAGGGACTCGGGAAATCTGATCTGAGAGGAACAAAAGGTGTAGCCTCTGCAGCGAGAGTGATGGGAGGACAGCAAAAGGAAACGAAAAACAAAGTGTGAAAACCTACAGCAAACGCCGCCAGGGAGCATATGCATCGGACTTCACAGCTTCCTCCTGTTTCCAGCTTACATTTGCTCCATATGCTGCTTTACACAGCTTTCCGGGGCCATAATGGGTTTTATTCCATAGTTTTTATACTAACATGAATGACTCACATCTGCTCCAATACCGAATTTGTTCTCTAATGTCTTCGGCTGTGAGGAGAGAGCAGCTTACCCAGGACTTGCCAATGGCAGGAGTGGAACAGACTCCTCCTCCAGGGACTAGGAAGGTTACATCCCTGAATGGGGAAACTGAGACCATGAGAAAAAGGGCAATTGCTCAAGAATATCATGCCCAGGGAGATAGATCAGTTTTCAGGCTCCAGGATGGTCCTCATTCAGAGCATACTAATTTTTCTCATTTTCTGTCACGTTAAATCTTTTGCTAGGAGCTTTTGCTTCCCATATTGGCTGTGATGAGAAAAAAAGGAACTTGGATTAACCACCAATGATAGCTAATCTCCCGCTGGGATCAATTGTGCTCTGTGTTACTTAAGCTGGTTATAAAGAGTTTTGAATATCTTCCTGAGCATAGGGGACCCCTGGATAGGCTGGGTCCTGGGACAGACTACAGGACTGTGCCCCGTCCCTGGCTTCCAGATGTTTGAAGATCCACCTAAAATCTACTTCAATCCTAATGTCACTGGTTTGACAACACCAATATGTCCTTTGGCTGGATAAGGTAATGGCACTTAGTGGATTCCTTGACAGCTTCCAGAGGCCCAGGGAATCTTCCTCACATGAGCGGAGCACAAAATGATAATTCAAGAAGCAAGCACCTTGGAAGGAAACCTCCACTCTCCTGGGCATTATAGGCCCCACATGGAGCTGCTGCAACTCCGGGGCTTTGGTTTCCCCATATGCCAAACAGTCAGAATGAGGCACCTCAGCACCTCAGCAGCAGGCAGTGTGGGGCTGCACCATCTCCAAAGCTTGGCGGTGGTGTTGTGTAACTGTCTGCCATCTGTTACTCAGAAGCGGCATCACAAAGCACTGAGCAATGGACTCTGGTGCTGCAGCTCCTGCCTGGAGCTGACAGCAGCTCAGTGTCTTGCCTAGGGGTCCCCTGCAGAGCCTGTGGCAGAATGCTTTGCAGGCCTAGGCCTGCAGGTCCAGGGGGAGGCTCCTGGAAGAGACCCAGGGAGCTCAGGATGCTGCAGGGGTGGGTCCTCTTGCTCCCCATCTCCCTTGAAAGTGATTTACCTGGGCCTTGGCTCAGCAAAGCAGTGATTGGGGAGCCTACCCGACCTTTCAGTAGATGGGATTCTAATGAAGGCAAGTGCTGGACCATCCCCAGAGTTCAGTGTGGTGGTCTGCGAGCTCAGCTACGGCTGGAGATGGGCTGGCAAAAGTGCTCAGCTTTTTCTGGCTGTTTGATTTTCATGGCTGATCCTGACTAAAAACTTCTCCATAGCCTGGTCAAGGATTTTTGAGGCTGTGAGGCAGATCTGCCTTGTGGCTGAACGACAAGGTACCAAACACCAGAGGCTTTGTGTAGGCTCCTCCATTTCTGAGTATGTCTTAGGGGCTCCATCTTACTGGACAAAGAATTCTGGGGCCTCCTGATTTATACCTGTCTCACCAGCAGTCAGGTATGGAAGCTTCCTCTATGCTGACCCTGCAGGGACAGAGGCAAGGAGAATAGCCGCTGCAGTATTGGGTTCATGGTGCTCACCTTCAGAAACTTGAGGCAAGCATCCCTACAACTAAAATGACACGGTTTTAGAGGCCACTGCTCCCCAGGCAGAGCAAGGTTTTCAATTTCCCTCTTTGAGCTCTCAAATAACAGCAGCACCCGGCATTAGGAGTTCACAAATATTGACACTCAGTTGTCACAGGAGCTATTGTCCTCCCCACTTCACAGATGAGAATCCCAAGGCTCAGGGAAGGTAAAGGGCTTACCCAGAATTCACACAGTTGGGCTAGATCAGGAACCCCTTGTCTAGTGATTTCACCATTATTCCAGCCTAGTCCAGGCCTATGTTGGAATTGCATTCAGAATTTTCTGTCTCTAGATTCAAGTGGTTTTCGACTGCCAGTGGAAAGAGGATGTACTTCCTAGAGGCAGTTGGGAAAGGGGCTTTTGAAAGATAACCCTCTGCACCCAGTATCCCCCTGCTCAGGATCACTTTTTAAGACCCCATACGTGGCTAGTCCAACTTTGCACCCCCTTTCTGGCAAGCACAAATCTCTGATGCTTACAGGGAGAGAAAACCCTTCAGGGAGATAATTGCACCTTAATTTTTAAGAGGATATCTTTAAAGTTAAATTTAGACCAACTCAGATTTCCATTAAGCAGAAAAAGTTGCCAGGCACCTGCACGTATGCATAAAACACCCTGAGGTGTTGGCTGAGCTCGACCTTGGCTCTGAATGGCTGAACCCAGGTTGGGGCAGTAACTCTGCCAGTCTCACCATCCCAGCGACCGCTGCGAGCGGGCGGACACGGGTGTGAGCGCCACGTGCAGTCCCCAGTGGTGAGCGGGAACTCCTCCTAGGCACTGACCCGCCTGAGCGGGCCGGCCCTTCAGTCCCGGTTTGCAGCTGGGATGGCGTGCGTCCTGGATGTACCTATCGTTCCTGTCCCACTCTAAACCAGGAGGGCTGCAGAGCTGCGCTCCGGGTTCAGCGCGGGTGGCCCCTCTACAGCACCATGCGCCTCGGTCGGCGGGCGGCGGTAGCGCCCCCTCCCAGAGCCCCGCTCGCGCCCGCTTGGCTCCCTCGGAGTCGGTCTGTCGGTCGGGCCCGCCCTCCCCCGCGCTCCCTCCTTCTCGTACTCCTCCGGGGGTGCCCGGCACAGCCTCGGATTCCTCCCTCCCGCCGCTCGAGTCAGTTCCCCTCTCCGCGGCATTGGGCTAGGCGGCGGCGGCGCGGCGTGGGGAGCATCTCTGCAGCCACCGCGCTTCTCCCGTTGGAGCCGGCGCCCAGCTTGACTGCCCCTCGTCCCTTTCCTGCCGCGTCTCGGGCGCCCGGCAGCCCCCGCCCCCGGCTCTATTCTCTCCTAAGCCGAAAGGGCGCCCTGCAGGATCCTGCCCCTCTCCTCTCGGTTCCTGGGGCTAGTGCTCTCCAGAGAGGGGCGCTCTCGGAGACTCCTGCCCCGCCGCCCCTGACCGCCGGGGGGTGCCCCAGGGACGTCGCGTCGCGGAAAGGAGGAGGCAAAGGGGACCATGCGGCGCCTGACTCGCCGCCTGGCGCTGCCGATCTTCGGGGTGCTCTGGATCACCGTGCTGCTGTTCTTCTGGGTAATCAAGAGGAAGTTGGAGGTGCCGCCCGAACCTGAAGTGCGGACCCCCAAGGTACGTGGTTTGGCGGCGCGCTAGGCATGGGGCAATGGCTTGCTGGAGGACGCGCAGCCCGCTCTTGGGGTTTGCGGTCTCCGGGAAGCCAGGGTTGGGGGTCTGGGTGATGCGAGCAGGTAACAGACTCCAGATGCGGCCACCACGAGGTTGTTTCTTGAATTTAACGTGCTCCGGGCGTCTCCGGACCCGTGGTGTGTCTAAGTGGCAGCGGGTGTGGGTGTTGGGAGAGCGCGCTCGCGGGCGGAGCGGGGCTCCCAACTTGAGCGGCGCGCTGGGTCCCACGGAGGCCAGGGGTTGGCGGTGGGCGGGCGCAGCCGGGGGTCTCTGGCGGTTGGGGCAGATGGCACCGCCTGCCAGGGTCGGCGCCCAGGAGAAGTCTGGCCGCTGTGCTGACCTCCTTCCCGCAGCTGCCAGTAGTGAGCTGGGGAGGCCGGAGGCCGGGGTGCGCTGCGCGCGCGTGAGCGTCGCGGGCGAGCGCCCTGCCGCCTCTGCGGCCCCAGCCCACCCGGCCTGTTGCTACAAATATTCCCCAGCCCCTTGGCTGCATTGGAAGGTGAATGTGTTGGAAGCGCTACTAAAGAGACTGTTAAGAACAGCCGCCTTGGTATTGGTGGGGAGTTGGAGAAATGGAAATCTAAGTGGCTTTTCCAACTCCTGCCCAGTCGGTGCATCTGTGAGGAGCAGGAAGGTTCTCCCTACAGGATCACTCTTCCCTTGAGCTTCAGGGCTCCTCTTTCTCCTTCTCTTGCACAGACTTGGTGTGGGACACAGAGGGAGGTCTCTGGGGGATTTGCTGGCAGCCAGGCAACGTTTATAAACTATGTCCAGAGCAGTCCTCTAGGGACTGGGAAAAAGCCTGGGAGAAGCTTATGGTCTGAAACTGGAGAGTGAGAAACAGGAGTGTGTGTGAGAATCCCCTTAGTATGCATGGAAATCCTACTATGTGCCTGCTTTCTTCATAAGTAGTTGTGTGAATTGGTATTGTTATTCCTATTTCGTAGATTAGGAAGGAGGTTGAGGGTCCTTCCTAACTTGCCTTAGTTTAACTTGATGGTTTGAACTCCAGCCTCCACACTCAGAATCTTTTTCGCTAAATCAAGTTGTTTCACAGATTCCCCTTTTAACTAAGTCCTCTGGGCACTCATATCTTGGAATCTTGCCAATGTTCAGCTGTTGTTCAAGCATTTATTTAGCACCTGCCTTGTGCCAGGCAGTGTGCTAGGTGTTATGGGTACAGTGATGCAGAATTTGCTCCCTGGAAGAAGGGGATTCATTTGTCATGGACTAGGACACGCAGGCTGGAGGGTTCAGATGGTTCATTGCTCTGGGCGTTCTGGGAGCCCCTGGGGACTTACAGCACGAGGTGTACTTAATGGAACAGAGTTGAGAAGGAGGTACAGGTTTGCCAGAAGTTAGGAGGGCATCTCAGGTAGAGGTTTGCAGGGGCAAGGAATGACACAGCAGTTGCGTCAGCCTGGCATAATTTGAGTACAAAGTATGTGGCCACTGAACCAATGAAGGGTCAAGCTGGGGAGGACCTTGTGGGTAGTATCTTGTGCTGTTAGGGGTCATGGTAGATGTTAAGCAGGGAAGTGACAGGGTCAGGTTGGTGACTTCAAGTAGCTTTTATAGCATCACGTCCATTTTCTCACTCATCTCAGATCTAGAGAATTTTTTCTACCTTATCCCTAGGTGATTCTGCTCCTTGTGATGCAGTTAATGATGCCTGCAGGGACATGAACTTTCTGTTTTGCGTTGAACCTCATTACCTTAAGCTTACTTATTCTTAGTTTACTCCAGGGATCTGGGACAAGAGATCTGTTTCCTTCTGTGTGTTCTCTGTCCGTCCTCCTTTCCTACCTCTTCTCCTCCTGGCATGATTATTTTATTTTTCTCAAGTGTGCTCCTGAACCCAAGCTTGTGTGAGCATATGCACATGAGCTAAATAACAATTGCTGGCATTTGTATAGTGCTTTACAAATTCACAGATTCCATTTCACATATATTACCTCATTTAATTTTTGCAAAAACCCACATAAAGGAGGTAATACTTTTATGCAGATGAGATTGAGCGACAAACATTTGGCCCAAGTTAACAAGGCTCTTCAAGTGGGAGCATCAAGACTAGAATGAAATGGAATCACTCTGGTGATTGCCTGCTCTGTGTTTCTTTCCTGTATGGCTCTGCACTTGTGGGTGATACAGCAAGGTTGGAGATGTTTACAGCATGAGCTCCTCACCCACTTTCCAGAGCTTCCTCACTCTTGGAGAACTGCAAGGGGTTGGCATAATTGTTGAGGTGCTAAGACAGGAACCACTTCAGAGGGAAGTCCTTCTCTGTTCTCAGAGGAGTTCACAGGGGTTCAGGGGGCTTTTCTGCTTTACAGAGTGCACATTTGCAGGAATGATCCTTCTGATGGGTGGTTGGATTCAATATTTGCAGCAACATTGCTTTAGGAATCATCTGCCACTGCAAAGATAGTTCCCTTAACAGTAGGAATTCAGATGGTACACTTGCTGATTGTAAGGACCAAATTCAGGTTTTGAGTGAATTCAGTAGACTAGGTTTTTCTAGGAAATGCTCATACATAGTCGTGGGGAAACTTTCTCCGGGACATGCCAAAGTCTTAGGGAAATTTTCATGCTACTGAGGTTTCTTCCCAGGGTAGAGGTGAAAAAAGGGGAGGGCCATTTCTTACCCATCATAAAGGGTCATGGCTGATGCCTCTGTAACAAAAGGCAGGTTAACAAGAGAAGAGCAAAACACATTTATTTGATCATAGTTTTATATGATATAGGAGCCTTCAAGAGTGAAGACCTCCAAACCCAGGGTGAACTGTCTATATTTATGTTCAGATTTGGGGGAGACTGGGCAGCAGTATAGAAAAAGGACTGGACTAAAAGGGTACAATGTAGTGCTAATGATGGAGTGGGGAAACCAGCAAGACCTATTTATATGGCTTCTTTGTAAGGTTTTCTTCCCTCTTAGAACTTCTGGAATGGGGGTTATGATCTATCAGAAAAGGTAGGTCAGATAAATTTTTTATGGTAATCTTTAAGTCAGAAAGGTGGGGGAAGATAAGAGTAATATTTTTGGATTTTTGGCTTGCTTTGGGGAAAAGGGGTTCTAGTTTCTATGAACTACCTTGGGGAAGAGAAATTCTAGTTTCTATAGCTTGCCTTTGGTGGGGAGAATGGGGAGCAGGAGACAGGAGGACAGAAAAATTTCAGAGAGAGACTCTACTTCTGAGACCTTGACTTTGGAGTGACATTTTTTGAGCCCCAGTACAAGTAGTGAAGAGGGGCAGCTGATTTTCCAAAGCAAAAGCAGTGGGCTTCCTGTGGAGATGGGGAGAGGGCTTATGGGCTGGGGACTGCCATCTCTTAGGGCCTGAGGGACATTTGGTTCTGGTCTGGTTTCAGGCTCTGAGTCCCTATCCTCTTTTTCTCACCGTGCTAGGACATACATGTCCCATTTAACCTAGAATTGGCACCCTCCAAGGAGGCCCCATACAACCTATGCCTAGTTGGTCACAATTCAAGTGATGTAAGGAAGGCATGCTGAAGTCCTGGTTTAAGAAAATTAATTTTTTGTCCCTTAGTTTTAAGAAGGGTTGGTTCTATTAATAGTGCAGATAAAGATTTCTTTAAATTTGACTTTTTAATGTTGATTCAATTTTAATACTGGTTCCCCATTTCCAAATTATTCAGCAAAGCTCTAATTTCTAATTGGAAATCATGTAACAGGTTTGATGTTTTAATTCAAACTGTATTTTAATGATAAATACTATATCACTGAAAAGGACCCGAAAAATGTTTCCATTTCTTTTTCTCCTGTCATTTGGAGAATTATATAATAACTGACAGAATTAAGGGGAAAAAAAAGCAAATTTGTCTCTTATTTCCAAGAAACTAAATTTAGTTCAGGGGCTTAGGGCTTAGTACAAGCAAAAGAATTTTAGGCCCGAGGGTAATTTTTGAGAAAGGTATTAGAAACGTAAAAGCTTTGAATAAAGTGCCTCGGGCCCATGTAAATGTATTGGTCCTGTACTAGAAATATAGCAAATGTTATTAGAAAATAGCTTGTCTTTCTGTAGCATTTGCATACCACCAGTGTCTTAAGTATATGACACTGTTATTTTATTCCCCATTTAGTAGATAATTTCTCCCATTAAAAAAAGTTATGAATTTTAGAGGGAGACCCTATTAATCCACTGATGCTCAGTACGTGCACATTGGATGCTGTCCAGGGAATTTTGACTCTGGCATGAGCAGAAGAAGTATCCCAGTATCAGATGCATGCTTGGCCTTTGGTTTGCTGTGCTGATGCCCATGCAGAGGGCTGTGCTAGTTTCCGTTCTAACATGGATCCCTGGAGCAGGTGTCGCAGGTGATATCACCTGGTAGTATGGAACATTGCTCCTTTAGCAGTCTGGGTAATAAGCAAATAGGTTGGATTCGTTTTTAGGGAATAGCAAATCTTCACTTTCTAGATAGTAACAAGCTTTTATTTATTATTTATTTTTTAAACCCAGATGCCTTATTCCATCAGGATGGTGGGAAATTCACTTTGGGTCATATTTGGCCCACCCTGGGTTGTCCCAAGGGCCAAGGAGTTGTGCAGAATCCAGGAGTCAGCTCTTTAGAGTCTCTGCCCATGTCCCTGCTCACTCTGGCTGTCCTGGCTCCCCCTCTTTCCCAGGTCCAAGTGAGAGGTCCTATCCTAAGGACCCAGGGATCTCTGTGGTGGGGGGATCTCTGAGTCAGCCTGGGGAGCACCTGCTCTCCTTAGCCTTGTTCTCCCCTGTGACCTGGTGTTTTCTGGAAACATGGATCAGGCATTCATCTCTCACTTCCTCTCCAGATGCACGAAATGAAATCCGCTCAAGTTAGGGAGGAGCAAAGCAGGAAGGAAGGTAACTTAATGCCCCTGTCACAAGCCTCTCCAGTCTGTCCAGAGAGTCCCCTTCTTCAGAGCTACCTGTCTGTTTGTAGCA